AAAGATACATTTTTGGGCTATATGTAAAGGTGGGGTAGGTAATTTTGGAGAAACCAGCTTGATTGCGCTAGAATTTGAAAATACACAACCGGAAAAAATCTGCTACTTCCTTATAGAGCCCCTCCTCCAACACACACGAACGAGCACATGACCAATGAGGCCACGAGATAAGTTTGTGCACGAGATGGAAGGCTGACAGGCAGGTAGGCCGTCCAGTTATTTTAGCCGGGCCGGCTCGGGTCGTGCTTTTTACAGCGCCACGGCTTCCACAGATGAATTGTTGTTATCGGGAGAATGTGGTGTTTTGGTCAACATTAGAAAACGAGAACAAGAGTTACAAATATATCTACAAACACAGATGTTTAACAACCTAACCTAAAGAAAAGCCTCTTACAAACCATCCGTTTGAATCACATTTATTTCAGTGCGGTTTGAGTTGAGGAGTGTTTAACTAAGGAGGCGGAAACACAAACACGAGAGCAGACCGTTTTTCTCACATTTATAAACCATCAATCCTGAAATGGAAAGGCTGCTCTGAACGTTCTTTTTTAATGTTCCCTAATACATGAAAAGCGCACAAAAGCAGCGCTGTTGATTTGTTGCTTAAGCGTTGGTCTACCAGCACAGTGATGTGTGTGTGTGTGTGTACCTAGTACCTTCACTGTTTTTACACCACAACTAACACACAGAAAACACCAACATATTTCAGCCACTGAAGAACTTCTCCGAGGTCATTTATTTCTGAACATCTCAAGGTCTTCAACAATTCCTGACATTCAACAGTTGATGCATATTTTTCGACTGAAGCGCATTGCATTTAAAGAAAACTCGATTGAGACATTTTTTAACACAATCACAGGAAACTTAAGTGCTTATTCTTGTTAATTATCCACCAAGTCGAACATGATCAGAGGGAGAAATTAGCCCATTCAGGTTTCACGTCAGAACAAATCAGAAAAAAGCTGTGAGGTGGAGCAAAGCAGGCGGCATCTCTAACTGTGGACGTAGTTTGATAGAAAAACAGAAAAAGAGCCAAGGGATAAAACAGTATGATTGGATTTGATATTGTAGCTACACATTTAATGTCTCCCATGCCAAGAGAACGTGTGTGTGCGTGCGTGCGTGCGTGTTCAGGGCCTGCAGCGCTGGATGAAGCGTGGGTACAGGCAGACGTCTCTGATGTGATGTCTGTTCAGCAGCCAGGTGAGGAAACGCTCCAGACCCAGGCCGTAGCCGCCGTGAGGACATGTTCCGTACTTCCTCTGAAACACACACACAGCAGCCGGTTAACACACGCTAGTAACAAGACAAGTAACACACAGTAACAAGGACAATTCAAGAGAGGCTTTGTCCACAATACGTTTTATGGAATCAGACGTGCTGTTTTAACGGGTTTCAATAGGGATTCTTTTGTCTGCATTTTAGGCACACACTTAATCAGACTTGTTAAAAGGAGCTGAGCTTCATATTCCAACATTCCCAAAAGACACACACAGCCTTGCCTACAGTTATCCCATATGCATTAACAGTCAAAATTGTTAAAAAAGCCCAAAATAAATGGTTTCTGTTACCTGGTCAGTGTACCAGTAGTAGGGGGTGGGGTCGATTTTCTCCCTCTTGTACCCCTCCAGCAGCTCCTCACTGTCCCAGATACGC